TAAATGAAATTGGTGAAACAGATAAAAAGTTTTATTGACTATTGAGCATCCTGTGAAAACAATTCGTTTTGTTGTTTGTTTCTGAGGAGATATCTGAGCTGGCAATCATTTCTTAGATTACTTAACATATTAAAAAATTTTATTCAAAAGTTATTCCGTTTTCCTGACCATCATTTATTATTGTCCTGCTTTTTTGTTATGTCGTTCAGTGCAACACTACTTGAACTGTTTACAGAGTAATTAATGGTTTAAGCACGTCAAGACCTTCACATTTATTTTCTTTCAATAGAGTCAAAAATAGTTGATAAGTATCAGAAATGAACTGGTGAAATAGATCCTAGAAATTGAAAAATGATCTCTTTATCCTTGGTTGACAAATGAATTTATTTAGAAAAAAAAATTCCGAGAGGGCAATTGAGAACAACGATCAGTCTTTGTAAACTTGATATCTTGGTGATCAGTGGGCAAAAACGTTTGCTTATTTTAAAAAACGAGTGATCATAAATCGTTTTTTCTTTGAAAACCCAGTCTTTATGTCAATTTTTAGCGTTACAAAAAAGCTGGTTTGTTTTAGAACTCAAGATTCAAGTGGGAAAGTATTTGCAAACATGGGGCCAAATGCAAACAGTAGGATAAAGCAACTTTTTTATTGTCTATTTCTAAAGAAAAGCTAAGCTAGTAATGTTCATAATTGAAAAAATCTGTTAAAGCTTAAAGGTTTGCTGAAAAATTACAGCATTGCTTAATGTTTCTGTTACCGTGACATCACTGCTCCAAAAACTGAAATAATTAGTTGGATAACTTCACGCAACAATTTTAAGTTACTTTTTAGTTTTTTATCCAGTGGAACGAGGCGGTTTTTTTTCCAAAAAAAAAAAATTTATACTGAATACCACCAGCAAATGTGGAATCCATTAAGAGATGCTCATATGACTTTAGAAAATGAGTGCAGCTTTTCGTTGTTTTTTTAGACGTGCAACTTGCCACCAGATATGTGGTGTGACAGTCCGCAATCGGCCCGTCAGTGTGATGTAATTCGGCAATGTGAACGGCATTGGAATAGCAAAACACCAGTAAAGTTGACGCTTATTTATGAGGCATTATGTCCATTTTGTCAAAAATTTATTACCCAACATCTCGGCAGTTTGTATGAAGAATTTCGAAACAATATTGAACTGGAACTGATACCGTGGGGAAATTCACGCTTTATGAAAGTAAACTGTTGTTTGAAAACATATTTATTGCTTTTTTCTCGGTCTGAACTATTCTTCATCCAACAAAAAAGCAAGCCAAAAAAGTTTTGTTATTTGGTTGTTGTTTGTACCAGTAAAATTGCATTTATTATTATCATAGTACCAAGATAGGAAGAAAAACGACTGTTGATTTCTTGTACCAATTCGTAGACATATTTCTAATATCTTTGTTTAGGGTGGTACGATTGTGTGCGACCATGGACCCAACGAATGTAAAGCTAACAAACTTCAGAGCTGCGTTTTAGATACAGTTAAAATTCGACATGCTTTACCGTTCATTGTTTGTCTGGAGCGGTCATTGACCACCAATGTAAATACCGAAAAAGCCCTTCAGCATTGCTCTGGATTTGTCCGAAATAACTACAGAAAAATTAGGTCATTAGTGATAACAGTATAAATGTCCAACTTCTATTATCGAACAAAATTTTTTTCTGAAATTATCAGTGTGATCTTAATGACGAGTTCATTTTGCAGACGATGCTTTGATACAGATCGTGGTTATCAACTGCAGATACAAGCTGCTAGAAAAACAGCTTCCGTTCGACCACATCCAGTACCCGAAGTTCCCTATCTGCTGGTAAACGACTACAGTCCTAACACCGAAACGAACAATCTCAATATACACGCCATTAGGCATTTACTAAAAAAATGGTTCCGCAATCACAAACGGGGAAGTCGTTAGAGATTTTGCTATTCTTGCAACTTATATTTGTACTAACAATTTTTCCTCATCTCCGGCAGATATTCATTCCACATTTTTTTTTACTAAACTATATTTCGTTGTCTTCACTTCTGCTGATCCATTTATTTTTCACCCTATCCGCACTCTGTATTTTGTGAAAGCGAACTGAGTTTTTTCGTAACTGCGGTCAGAGGATTCATAGAACATGGAAAAAGTAAATGGATACAGAGGACGTTTTGCAGTTGTTTGAAAAGTGGACAAAATTTAGTTTTTTTAGTCAGTTTTACAAAAACACTTGTTGCCACTGATTAAGCAGCTCAAAGAGCTCGATCTCTCCTACCAGTTTGGTTATAAACCTAACCGATCCAGAACATCCGAAATTGTACATGAGTTCACCAGAAAATTAAGCTCTTGAAATCAATTTATTTTTCACAATATGTCTATTCACCATCTACCTGCTGAAGTTGTAATGATACTCTATTGAACCGAAACGAAACACGCCAACTATTAAAATTTTATTAAATTTTGAATCACTTCAAAGTGACACTGTTGTACGACGTCAAAATTTAATGATTTTAAATTTCATTGCCAGTTCTTCAATTTCTCTGTTAATAGTACGTCTCAAATAATTAATTTTTCAACGGAAAAGCAGACTTATATTCCTGAAATCCCCAATTTTGTTGTATATTGAGCAAGTTCTTTTAGCAGCAGTATCTTGATTTAATTCAAATTTTAAAACCAAAAGAATTTGATAATGAAAGGTATTAACTTGCTTCCATGGATTTTGGTTCCGCAGAACCAGTATAAGCGGAAATCTGTGGATTGCTGCAGACAATAAATAAATATTAATTTTTTCCAAACGGTTTACCTGAACTCACCTAAAAAACCACACGAATTCCACAGCAAATATAAATCCCGAGCATTTTGAATCGACATAATTGATCATTTGTGTCTACAAGGCAAAGCTAAATTTAAATTCTCTCTCAATGGCCGCTTCTCAGTTTACAAGTGCTACGAAAATTAAGGTACAGCAGATAATAGAACAGAAAAATAATAAAAAAAATATAAATTAAAATTACCTGAAAAACTGAATCTAAAAGCAGTAACTTGCTATAGATTCTCTCTCTAAAAAACTGAAAAATATAAAAGCATGTGTTGTGCCTCTTTTAAGCATTTTGTTCAGCGCCTCTTCTTTATAATGAACAATGTCTCCTGTTATAAATCACAGTATTATACGTTGCTGATGTCTGTAACTGTTTGGCGGGTAGGGGACAGCAGTTACTAGTAGACAAAACTGCCAAATGGCGAAAAGTTATAAATAAAAAGAGAAAAACTTCTAGGAAGATAGCATTTTTTCAGTACCCAACCATGGTTTCCTGACTACAGCACCATCGGAATAGACTGCAAATCTATGGAACAGTTTTAGAAGTTTCTGCCGAAGTGCAAAAAATTTGTGAAGTCCTAATCCTTACGCAACAGATCAAAAATCTTGTGCGTTACAGACATAGGTTCCTTAAATCACTTATTATGATGCGACAAACTCCGTGCCGGAACAAAACCAAACTAATGTATCCAAGGAAGACTCAAGTTTTACCGACATGCTCATCGAGAGTCAGCGCAAAGCGTGAGATAAAGTTCATCGAACAATCAAAAAAAATTATCAAGGATTTCGCAAAAATAACTCCTTTTTGTGTGGAGAGGTTGAGTAGTTTTGAAGCAGCATCACCAGCGACCGCGTTATCAGTGACTTTACAAACAACCCGTTTGAAATCGCAAACTTCGCGATGTCACCTCGGCGCAGGCTAGTCCGATGAAAAATGACATTAGGTCATAGATATACAAACTTTTTTTATAGTCATCCAAAACTAATTATCAAAAATCTAGGTCTTGCTAAAAATAAGCGCAATGATTGAGGACATCGCAAGTCACCAAAAAGCTATTAGACAAAATTGTTGGAGCAAAAGATTTATAAGAGTCTGTTGCTTCAGTGACTGAAGTTCGTACATAGTTTAAAGAACGTGAGACATCAGTAGCTTAAGATCCTCCAAAAAACCAGAAGTGCAGGAAAGCAAGTGGAAGCGTGATTTTTCAAAATTTGGAACAGCGTAATCTGCTTTACTGTATATCTTGACCATTTTAAATAGCTCTAGCCGTGTTACGGTAAAATGTATTTTTCAGATTGCGGAGCAGTATTCAACTATACATTATTGTATAACTCTAAAATTTGACTTTGTTTACAGCAGCCACATTACTGAACCTAAATGCTATGTTCATAAAGGCCAATGGAAACATGTTTCTCCAGCTCGGTGAATAGGGACGTAACTGCTAGCACAACTCAGATGGACTGCTGTAAAAACCGACAGTAAAATCCAAAAAAAGAGCAGAATATAATAAAGTTGACCAGGCAAACAACATACAAGCCAGTTTCTGAATTATGAAAGAACTGACCGCCTTTAACGCCAAGTTATTGCATGAGTTGAAGCACGACTTTTGTCGGAGTTGTATTGGCCAAATGTAAAAAGCGGTTCAAGATTTCAAGCGATCAGGACCTGTATGGTGAACTCCCTCCA